GTATCTGATAGAATGTATTTTCACGAGGAACGAAGAACAAATTCTTGAACTCATGACCGTTGTAGTTTGTTATCTCAATAGTTTTCGTCATTTACATCCAAATAAAAATTTTCAGTAAAATATAAAAATAAACTTAAAAATTAATGATATCACCACCCTCACACGTATGAAAACATCCATTTAAATTTAGGTGAAGTGGTGAGATGTCACCTCTTTTTTCACCTGTTTTTTCACCTCATGAATTCATTGCTTTATAACTCTCTTCCTTGGTTTCTTTTTAGTTGCTTTCTTCACATCTGTCTCCAACTTGACTGTCTTTCTTCTTCGACCGTAATGATACCAGTTACTTCCACCAGTCAATGGGTCAAATGGTCTTTCGTAAGGATTTCCATACATTCCATAGGGACCATACGGAAGAACTACTGGTGGAGGAAGAGTTCCATCGAATCTATTTAAATGCATTGTTTCACCTTTCATCTGGTCATTAAAGTCTTTTGCGTGTTTTGCAAACTCATCGTCCTTTCCTAAAGCATTTTCTGACTCAGTCGCAACCAAATTGGATGCTTTATTTATGAGCCCTATTTTATTTAATCTTAACTTCTTTGCAACCCAGCCTCCAATCTTCCCTTTATTTGCATCTAATGTCTTCGAAACCCTTCCTCCACTCATTTTATTTACTGCGTCATAAGCTCCAAGTGCTTTTGCTCCAAATGCTAATGCTTTTGTTCCCATTGCGCCTAAAGCTGCCCAAGCTACCATTTACACCATATTAAAATCATCTCTCTTCAATATTATCTCATAAAAGTTCTCGTTACTGGAGAAAGTCAATGAAACATAAACATTCTCATTCATAAACTTCTTTCTTATATCATCTATTCTCAATAAAATGTCTGAACAATTGCTAACATCTTCTACAACAGTTATTTCATCATGAATGACCTTCAAGAACAAGCTCATTTAATATGCTATTAAAATCATTTCAATAATGAGTCCATCCTTTCCGTCTTTAGGTAGCACAACATCTTTCATTGAAGAAGGTTCGACAAGTCTTATGTTAAACTTACTGACAAAGTTTGTTATACTATAATGCTTCGGCGGCGAATACATATAGTTTGAAAGACATAATATAGATTCTTCAGCAAATTCACTTATACTGGATTTTATAACAATGTTCTCACGAGACCAAATACCACCAATTGACAATCTTGTAAGCAATCCTGCTGAACCTTCAACTGTAAACGTCGATGGTAACATTCCACGAAGGTCATCTATTGACATCGTTGAGTCACTGAATTTAAATATTTTCTTAAAGCAATCGTCATTATCTAACCATGCAATAGCTTTGAAGTTTTCATTCGAATATACATCTGCTTCATTAAATGTAAAACCTGACTTCTTTGCAGAGACGACTTTAAAATCTATTGAGTTTGTTTCAAAATTATATGCTATGCTAACTTCTGAAGGTAATGGATGTCCTTCCGCAGTCAGTTGTTCTCTCACTACCGTTTGAAGCTTTGTGTTAAAAACTTTCATGTCATCTCCTGTGTCTAGGTTCACATACACAGCAATGGGAAAACTATCTTGCTTCTTTGTTTCATCATTATACCTCAAAACATTAAAGTTCTTCAATAATATTGTTCTTCCTGCTGGAATACTTCGAACCTGTCTGATTTCAATAGCTTTCTCACCTCCTACATACTCTACCCAGTGCCTTGGATATTCATAAGTATACTGACTTTCTTGAATTTTGGTAGGTTTCATCATAACGTGTTCATAGTATATCTTTATACTCTTGTCAGTTAGACTCGGTGCTATGTTCTGAATATTTCTGACTTGCATTTTTAATGGAGATAAAATGAAGCATTTAATACATGACGTAGATGAAGACATGAATGAAACTACAGACAAACTTAACTCTTCTCTCATTCTTCCTTTCAGTAAGGACTATGAGTTCTGTTCAAATGGCGTTTATTTCTATTGTGGAAAGATGGGTTCAGGTAAGACATTTAACCTCATTCGTCATATACTCATAACAGAGCGTTTAGGAAACGACTCATATTATGACCAAATCATTATATCAGCAACTTCAGACTCTATGGACTCAACAGCGAAAACATTTATGTCAAAAGTTCAAGCCTCTGTCGTTAAAGTTCCAGACAGTGAACTCATTGAATTTCTTCAACGTTACGTTCGACGTAAGAGGAAATATTATGCCATCGTTGAATTTATACAGTCAGGAATGCAAAAGACTTCAGAAGAGATGGAAAGAATTATTGACAAACACCACTTACGTCAGTACTCAGGAGTTTACGATATGAAACGACTGACAAACTACATTCTATCAAAACTTTCAAAATACCCCTTCAAAAAATATCCTTCAAACACTCTGCTCGTTTGCGACGACTTCGCCGGAAAAGGTTTAGTGTCAAAGCCTGACTCACCATTAGCTAACATCATTACTAAAGTCAGACATTACCACTTAACTGTAGCAATACTTATGCAAACATGGAGGTTTTTAGCTTTAAACATAAAACGTCTCATAACTGACTTCGTTATCTTTCAAGGTTTCTCACGTTATGATATTGAACTCATTTGGAAACAGTCAGGTATAACATTACCTTTTGAAGAAATTTGGGAAGCATATAAGTCTCTCATCTCTCCTCGTTCATACCTTGAGATTCATATCATGACTAATACCATTAAAGTCAAAAATATTCCATGGGAACGACCAACATTGTTTTAAAGTTTAACCTTCAATTGACTGATGGTAAACAAATTCCATGCATCTCTGTCGCCATTTCTGTTAATATTTTTGCTGTCATTCATATCATCCACTTCCCATCCGTTAGCTTTTGAGGATATGCGTTAGAATAGCTGTTCTTAAATGAAGGCTTTTCACCTTTGAGAGCATAAACTCTATAACTTTCTGCATACTTTATGTTTGAACCTCCTGAGCCATCATTGACATAAATTTTTATAGGCTTCCACCCTTTGTTCATGTTCCTGCTTCTTCCCTTTGCTCTTTTGTTCAGTAGTTCTACATCTTTATACACAGCTCCTGTCTCAGTGAATTCAACAATATTTTCATTCGTTAGCTTTACATTCAAACCCTTGTCGAGTATATTGTTCATTTCATACATATAAAAGGTTTTTATTCTATATGAAATGAGAAGCAAATCCATCTTAGCTGGTGCCGTTAATGTTCCAATTGAACCAACATCAAATGTTGACTCACGAACGACAAACAATATTGTCATAAAGAACTATAGTTCAGAGTGTTTGAAAGAAAAAGAACCAGAACTGAAATCCGTGAATTTAAACTCAGCTTCAAACGCTAACGCTACATCAGATGTTAAGTTAGAGTATCCACCACTGGACCAAATTCTTTCAAGAGAAGCCAACGACAACCCTTACACAAATGTTCAAACAAATCCTTCAGATAACGTAGACCATTACCTTCTTCAGTTATACCAAACAATTTTACTCAAAGACGATAAGAAGCTTTTGATAAATCTTATAAGCAAGAACCAAATAATTCTAACAAAGGAGGACCTTGAAAATGTTATATCACGAATAACAGGAAACAATGTGTCATTGACTATCTCGACCCTGAAATCGAATGCTGTGGTCAAACACCAATATTCATGAAAATAGGTAACATCCGCATCATTGAAATACCAGGAACTACAGGAGTTGAGTTTAAGTATAAATATTCGAACGAGTATACAAAACTTTCAACAGAATATAAGCTTTGTTTGAAATATGTTTTAGTAAATTAAAGCAATTTGTAATATCTATCCAAAACTTCTTCAACAGTATCGAACTCATCTTCATAATGCAAACCTAATCTTATTGACTTGGTGCAGTTTTCACTAACACAATATAGCGCTTTGCGCTCGGCGCCTTTGACGCCTTTTTCTGTTCTCTTGACTGACATAACTAATTCATTTGTTTCATCAAACAGCAATAACCAAAGTTCATGACCTAATACATAACATTCATACTTTATATTTTTAGCTCTGAGTTCTCTTGTAAGCTGTTGCATTTAATATTTTCTAAAAAGTCAACTTCAACAGTCATTCGCACTGGTGCCTTCAGTTCTACAGGCTCTCCTTGAAAGTCAACAAGTCTGAATTGCATGTCTTTCAAATTATGAGGACTAATGCGAACCCATTTACCTAAATGAGTTACTATGACAGGAACGTTTGGAATGAACATTGAATTGACTGCATAACAGAAGGATTTATATTCTACTGAACCTTTACTATTAACTCCTGAAATGCCTGTGACATTAGCTATTTTTGACTCAACGTATAAACAATTACCATAACATACGTATGGAACAGATTTCATCTCAATCGTTTTGTCAACACTTTTCAAAGGACATGTCATATGGTATGCTCCCAAAAGAAGTTGAACTCTATGACTCATTCGTGTTATCTTAAACTCCTTCGCATAACTGAACTTCAAAACTCCTGCAATAAGTTTAACATTCATTAAGTTTTCTTCGTTCTCCTTGTTTATTGTAGTATTTATGAGCGCATTTAACACTCCAGCTAATGTTTCCATCTTATATTCTACATTATTGTGAAATCTTATTTCGTGCTTCTTTCCATCTATTTCAAGCTCCATGAAATCTGTTTCATCTGTTATAACGAATGAAGCGATAGTATTGAAGTCAACAACTCTGAAAGCAAGTGCTTCATTCTGAAGACCTAAGTTTGTTTGTAGCTTTACTGTCCCGTATTCGTTTGGGTCTGTACTTTGCAAATAGAACAACATTTTATTCTCATTAAAATATGAGTATTGCTGCATATGCGTATGAAGCTGACAGAGCTAAACGTTTATATTTTGGTCAATACTCTCTCACACTTACTGACAAATATATTGTTATTTCTGATGGAAATACCGAGAAATACATAACATGGAAGGACTATGAAAAGTTTGACCCTATTTTAACTCCATGTACAATGCCATTCATTGTAAATGGTGAAGTTGTCATGAAGAACGACACAACTGTTTATAGGTCTGTATATGAAGCGTTAGAATATATGTTGAATTATAATCCCGAAAGATTTGACCCAAGCACTACGTCATGTACAATGCCTTTTATTAAGGATGGTGAAATCGTAAGAGTTCCGGATTCAACGGTTTACACAGCTGTTCAAAACAGTTTACAAAACATTTTAGCGAATATCTTTAATTCAGAAACTACAGAAATAAAATTACCATATATAACAGATGCTAAAGAAATTAAATCAAAAACGACAACATTATTTACGTCACTTAATGATTTAATGACTTATATCATTAATATTCCTGCACCAACTACAGCATTTGATCCAAACTCGACGGTTTGCAGTGTACCTTTCATAAAGTCGCAAACGGACTCTTTGAGTCCTGAAGGTCTTTCAGACCGAAGCGACCAGGGCGAAGCCCATGACAGTTCATTAATTGTTTTAAGGGATTCAACAGTTAATGAATCATTAAAGGCGTCATTAATGAAAATCATTGATTTTAACTCATTCACGAATACATATAATTCATTCATTAATGTTTCATATGCTTCTAAAGAAGGTGAGCCAAAAACTATCGATAAAGCGGTGTATGAAATAAAAGCATCAACGACGAAATTGAATTCGTTAACTTTTGACGGTGATAGTTTCGTTAATGACATAACATCGGGGAAAACAATTTTAACGAAAGAATATTTAAAATCTCATGTTAGTGAGTTCGTTGAAATTGAAAAAGAAGGTGGAATTAAGTTCGATCCACTGAATTTCATTTTCAGCTTAGCGAATGCGGGTGTTAGTTTCGCTGAATGGACAACTATACAGAGTGAAATAAATGCAATATGGACGTTTTTGGGGTCAAAAGCGGGAATGGGTGAGCTTGTAAATGCTGCAAGAACATTAGGTGAAACAGGAAATTTTGTAGATGGTTTTAAAAGACTTGTTTCAAATGTTTTAACAAACACAAAGAAATTATTTAGATATACCATACATAACGGACGGATTTTCGAACAGGTAGCAACAAACCCTCCGGTTATGGCTGCGTTGATGATGGTTAGAGATATAAAACCACGTAACGACGGGAACGAAGAACATGAACAACAGAGCCCAACGGGCTCAGAGCCACATAGTGGCGAGGATACTGGTCGGGTTATTCAAGACATTAAAAACGTGTATCCTGAAGTTATTGATTTATTTAGAGGAGTTAATGATTCAATTTCAAAACATTCTATAACCCTCGATGAAGAGAATAAATTAACAGATTATATATTCGTCATTATTGCAGAATTAATGAAGAGAATAAATGAAAAAGGAATTGGTGATATCATTAATGTCAGCGATGTAATGATGAAAAGAAATTTTGACTCATTATTTACAAAACCGAAAACAGAATATAGTCTTTATGACGTAATTACCGAATTAATGAAAAAGATTAATGATAATAAGAGTTCTGGCGGAAGAGTTGAATTAGAAGTGAATGATGTTAATGAGAAATTAGCCGAAAAAGCAGATAAAAACCACGTTCATTATATAACTTCAGACGAACAGATTATAACGGACTACCATGGATATTTAACACGAAGTGATGAAGCGAAGAAAAAAATGTTAATGAAAGAAGATATAAATACATTCGTGCTAAAGGTTATGACATAAGCTGTACTGTACAGTATGACACAGGTAAAGCACCAGAAGCATTTAGTTATAACGATGAAATTTATGCCTCTACTTTCTCTGTTAATGGTGTATTAGTTGAACCAAGATTTATGTTAAGAGTTAAGGCAAAAATAACGTTTGAAGATGCTATTAAAAGTAAAGCTGACAAAGTTGAACTTGACGCAACGAACAAAGTTTTGAAATCTCATAAACACAACATCTCCGATATAAATGAACTTCAAACTTCTTTAGACAGTAAAGCTGACAAGAACCATACACATAAATCCTTCACTACTGTTAGAGCAGACGACATAATATTGAACTTTGACCTTGGTTCAAGTGCACCATTAGAAAATCCAAGTACAAGCGTAAAAGATACTCTTAACAGTTTAGATAACAGTTGCAGGAACATTGAAAGTCATGCCAGAAACTTTGAAGCACATGAACTACCAGCAATGTTAGATAAGAAAGCAGACAAGAACCATACACATAAATCCTTCACAACTGTTGCTATAGAAAGTATTGAAGGAACGGTTGAAGAAACTGGTGGGGATGCATTATATTGTAAACCTCCTAACTTTCCACAAGGTTTAACATCGGATGACGACATAACGACGATGAGAAACATTAGATGTAAAGATGTTTATGTCATGAAGGATGAACATAATATTAAATTCACTGCTCAAGATTTATATGACAAGAAAGCAGACAAGAACCATACACATAAATCCTTCACTACTGTTAGAGCAGACGACATAATATTGAACTTTGACCTTGGTTCAAGTGCACCATTAGAGAATCCAAGTACAAGCGTAAAAGATACTCTTAACAATTTAGATAAGAGTTGCAGGAATACCGAAGATCATGCCAGAAACTTTGAAGCATATGAACTACCAGCAATGTTAGATAAGAAAGCAGATAAAACTTATGTGGATGCAGAACTAACAAAGAAATTTTCGAAACCAGATACAATGACATTTACAACAGAAATTATAAATGGTGAACCAGCAACTCCATTTGAATTTGTTAGAGGTCTTCAACCAGATACTTTTGAATTTTTCTTGGATAATTCTATTGAACTAACATTACATTATAAAAGTGGAACAAATGCAACATTTCATCCGGGAGATACATTCCAAATGGTATTTAATGACATAAGTTCTTTAGAATATGTTTATAGAGTTATGAGCATATATGATTTAATATATCCTATAGGAGCTGTTTATACGTCTATGAATCCAATAAATCCAAACACTTTATTTGGTGGTAGATGGTATGAAATAGTTGACAGTTTTCCATTCTACACTAATACGCAGTCAATGAAGATGGGAGGTTCAAAGAAAATAGGTATTGAAAACCTTCCTTCACATATGCATAGGTTCAGTGGAAGAACATCTGTGGAAGGAAACCATTCACATTCAATAACAAAAAGAGGTTATATAAATCTTGCAGCGGGTTCGAATAGACAGGGAATGAACAGATATGATATCACAACTGACCCCAAAGATGTTAGCACAGGTATTTTCTGTGGAACTGCAGGAAATCATACACATGTTGTAGCTGGTATTACAGACCCAGCAGGTAATGGAAAAGATTATATGCCTCCTTATATAACAATGCACGCTTGGATACGAGTTGGTTAAAATCTTTAACTTTACATAAATGAGCTTGAAAGAAGTATTCGAACAACATCCATGGAGGTCATTTAAGAAGTTCAATGAAGCTGCAAAGAGTTGGGATTTACTAACAGAGCTGAAGTGAAAAGGTTCTTTGACAAAAATGTTGTACATCAAACAAAAATAAATCCTTACGACTACTTTTTACCAATTTACTCCAACACTCCTGACGCATACCAATTTGACACTCTCATTCAAAGCAGAAAAGGAGGACATAAACCATTCCTCATCTTCATAAATGTTAACACTCGTAAAGCATATGCGTATATAATGAGAAATAAAGGAACTCATGAAGTGTTAAGAGTTTTACAAAAGTTTGTAGCAGAACATAGCCCAAGTATTTTAACATCAGACCAAGACGGTGCATACCTCAGCAACGAAATCACAGAATTTCTCATTAAGCATAACATAACTCACTACACTACTGAAGACCATAACCATAACATACTCGGTATCATTAACCGCTTCATAAGGACTCTCAGAGATTTAAATCAAGAGCGAGACTTTACCGAAGAAACAATGAAACATTTTCTCGAAGTATATAATTCCTCAACACATTCTACAACAGGACATACACCAAATTCAATGACACAACAACAAGAAGAAAAGTATATACAAAAGAAACGAAGCCAAACACAAAATATCAGAAATTCAACACAATTTACCTCATTCCTGGTACAAAAGTTCGTGTAGTTCTTGACGACAAACCATTGACAAAGAAACGTTTAAGGTTAAGTCGAAATTATTATATCGTAGACTCTACGCAAGGTAATGGATATCTTATAAAAGCTGCTGACGACTCCATAGCATTTTACCCTCGACATAAATTAGTCGAAAGTAGTAATGGCAAACTTGCTGAAACCATTGACGAAGCAAAGCGAGGAGTGGTTATTGAAATACTTGACTATAACACAAACGATGACACTTATAAAGTAAGATATGAAGGAGGCGTTGAAGATGTTATACCATCTAAGAACTTGAGAGAATCTAAACCAACTCATCTGGGACCATTAGAGCGGGAGTACTGGAAAGATAAAAACATGCCAGAAAGAATAAGAAAATTCTTCTAAACTTTTTCGTTGGATGTAAATCAGACAAAAATATAATTTAGGTGAAGAGGTGAGATTCACCTGTTTTCTCACCTCTTTTTTCACCTCTTGAACTTTTTATAACATTCGGTCATAACTTCATCAATTTCATTTAAATCACGATTTAAAAACTCATTGACTTCATCTTCAACCGTGTCATCTTGTAATAAGAATATTTTCTTTAGTTTCATGTCAACATCCCGAACAGCACAAAGGATAAAATCATATTCATTTCTTCCGTTAAACATACTTTTTCTTTCTCGTTCATCGTTAAATAAATTATTGAAAATATAAACAGCGGTGTAAAAGTTATGTACTGTGTTAAATGTTGAAGCTTCACCTATTTTAGATTTTAGGATTCTTTTAGTAAGTAAATTGTTATCGTTCTTTCTCTTTTCCTTATCGTTCATGTCGAATCTGTCGAACCACATATCCTGTATTTCATCGAATTTACGAACTATAGAATCCGTCATTTCCCTGGTTAATGAGGGGTAATCATTATTAATTTTTTCATATAATTTGTCCATATGATTTTCATCGACGTTTCCGGAAAGCATTTAATTAAAGCAAAAATATATTATAGGTGAAGAGGTGAGATGTCACCCGTTTTCTCACCTGTTTTCTCACCCCAGTTTTTCACAAGCGTTTTACATGAATTGTACGATGTATATTTGAAATCCTAAACAATTTCGTAGCTTCTATTTCTTCTGTCAGTATGTCAAAAGTTTTAACAATGCCGAAAGTTTCTTTATATTTCTTCTTGACGTCAGATAGAAGGAAATCGTCAGCAGTTGGATAGTTTTTGTTCAGAAATGCTAACATGTCCATTTTATTTTCTGCTGGCTTTTCTGCTTCTTTCTTTAAGTCTGCATAGTCGTTTCGCATTCTTTCTATCTCTTTGACGGAGTAGTTATATTTCCTAATTGCTGCTTTACATTTAGAACATTGCGGATTCATTTTTGCGTTATATTCTGAAACCTTACCTGCTAAAACAACTAAGGCGTCAATGGTTTTCTTTAACTCAAAAGCAGTTGGTCTTATCTGTTCGTTCCATATTTTACCTCTTCTATCTTTATCTCTTATCTGCCATACACATTCAGCAACTAACGAAACAAAGTTATCGTAGGTCTTAAACTCCCCGGATTTATATATGTCAGAAACATTCTTATATACCATGTCGCAATCTTTGTCCATAACCTTATGGTTGCAATGAAATCCTAGAAACTCATAGTTTACCTTTCGAATGAACTTCTTTATTTCTACTGAGTCAGTTGGTTTCACTTCTATTTCATCGAATTCAGGAATAGTTAGTTTTTGATGCTGAATTTCAGGTAGTTTAGGTAAATGGTCAATAATGTCCTGCATTTCATAAAGATACTGTTCATTTGTTTCATCTTTCGCACTACAGTCTAAATTACTTGTTAAAAGTTCTTGCTTTATCTTCTGGATTTTTGTTTCGAAAGTATATGAAGAAGGAATGAAGCTTTTCATCTCTACTAACATAGATGTTGGATTCATGACTAACGAGTTTGGTGAAGTTGTTGTGGACAGAGTCCCGCCGTTCGCGGCTTGAATTGTTGTTGTGCCGATTGTTGAAATCATATCTTTACATACAAAATAAAAAAATAAATAAAAATAAAACTAACGTTATTTTTCTATCTTAAGGAAATTCATGAAAATTCATGAGGGTGAGAAATTAGGTGAAAAAAGAGGTGACATCTCACCTCTTCACCTATAATATATTTTTGGTCATTTACACTCATTTACGAAGAAGTTATGACAAAGCATTTACGAAGAAATTTGACAAGCATTTACGAAGAAGTTATGACAAAGCATTTACGAAGAAGTTATGACAAAGCATTTACGAAGAAGTTATGACAAAGCATTTACGAAGAAGTTATGACAAAGTCACGAGGGTGAAAAAAAGGTGAGAAAACAGGTGACATCTCACCTCTTCACCTAAATTATATTTTAGGTCAAAGCTTCCACGAGAGAAAAGATTCCTCATTCGCTAAGGATTCCAAAAATGAAAAAATCATTGATTTCGGCTGAGAAAAAACAGCAAAACCCTTCTTCCACGGGAACAAAGAAATAAAGAAGAAATAAAGTAAATTTTTTATTTATTCCCGTGGAAGATAGAGCACTTTTATGACACTTTTTATTCACGACAAACAAGACAAATAAAGAAAATAAGAAAATACGGCGCTGTCGCGGTTCGAACCACAGACCTGACCCCTCCATAACACCACCTTAGACCACTGTGCTACGTAGCCTGTCGACATAAGATTTTATAAATTGCATATTTGACGTAAATTTATTTCCATCTGGCTTCCCACTGCATAAGATATTCATACGTGTTTGTAAGACATTCATTAAACTTCTTTTCTATTGCATCTAATCTTGCGTTATTTTTTTCAATAACTTGTCTGTATTCTTCATCATCTCCAGCAGTGTTTGGGTCTTCACGTTTAAAATATTCATTGTTAACCAATTTTTTATCTACAAATTTTATTAGTGTTTGATTCACTTCGTTATGATAACGGTCATATTCTTTCAATACGTAAGTGAAGACAAAATGCGTCGTACCTTCAATCTTAAAGCTTAAAGAACTTTCAACACAGTTTTGAGGGTCTGTCAGTGCGTCAATGAGATAGTATTCGAAGTCAGTCAATAATCTTTTTAAAGTCATTTCATACAGGATAAAATTTAATGTTGTGAAGAAATAGTGTTTATCTCAGAAAAAATAACGCTAATTTTATTTTTATTTATTTTTTTATCCTGTATGTAAGGACAGATATGTCAACATTAGAGAACACAACAACTGCTATCGTTCATGAAGTCATAAATGAAGAATACGAGTACATACAATATAACAAACAATTGAGACTCATTCGTTCTGTCAAAGACGACATGTACCAAATGCAAAGTATTTTGACGGCTTGTTTTGCTCCAGATACTAAGCTTCCTAAAGACTGGTTTAGGAACCAAAGCACCATAGAACTATTAAGTGAAGCACAGCGAGACGTACTTTTTTCTGAAAACAGTGAAGAACAGCGAGTAGGTAAAAAATCCCAGTCGCCAAAACTCTATGAAAATCGTGAAAAATTGCCAAACGGTTTGAGAGGATATTATGTTCATAGACTTTTAGTAAATGTTGTAGCAATGTGGGCTTCACCACGTTATGCTTGGTATGTTTGTAAACTTCTTGACGAAATTCACAGACAAGAACGTGGAGAGATGGAAAAGAAACTTCAAGCAAAAGATGAAGTCATTGAATCCAAAGACAAAAGCATACAGAAAAGAATACCACGTTCAGTACCAAAAGGAAAGGAAAAGAGTTATAAGTATATGATATATACTGAAGAGTTGGAGAAAGAAGAAGATAGAGATATGGTTATGTTGCATTTAGTCAGAAGAAACAACAAAAGCTTTTATGACCTTGCTAAGATTTACAAATCTGACAGAAACTGGTTCTATCGTGAAAACTTACCGATTTCAATGACACCGAATGAGCAAATAAAGGAAATTGTCAAAAATACTCTTCCTCAAACACACTATGACATCAAAGGTTGCACAATACTTACATTCAAAGAAGACTTAACATTACTGAAGGAAAAAATAACAGAATATTTCGATAACTTCAAAGAGGAAGAATGAAGTCACGACAACATTAACGAAGAAGTCACGACAACATTAACGAAGAGAGAATGAGGTGAAAAAACAGGTGATATCTCACCTCTTCACCAAAAATATATTTTTGGTTAAATAGCTTCAGGGTCAATTTCTTCAACCATTTCACTTCCTTCGTCAATGTCAATTGAAGCTTCTTCAACCTTTGGTAAGAACTTTTGTATAACATCTTTGTTCGTTATTGTCTTCAGAGATGAAGGATAATATTTCACATTTGTTTCACCCTTCTTATATTCTTTCTGTTCGGAAAGATTCATAGCAATACTGAAGAAGTCAACGTTAGAGTTCTTTATGACAGTATAGTGTGTATCTTTGACATTCACGAAGAAACCCTTTTGTTTCAAAACTACTGCTAACTCTTGTGAAGTATAACGTTTGCGGTCAATGACGATAGCTAATGGTCTGACATACTGACCAAACTTAGATTCTTTCACAAACTTCTTGTTAAAGATAACATTAACGTTTGAAGCATTATTGAACTCATTCTTGATGGCAGTAGCGAGAGCATTGTATGAAAAGAACTTGCAATCTTGCATGTGTTTCATTAAAATAAAAATATTAAATTATTTTGAAAAATAACTTAAAAAAAATCTAATCTAATTTTTTCAAAAAATATTTTTTTATTTCCTACTAAAGATGTATCGGAAGTTGTCTAAGTTAGAACACTCGGAAATAAAACAACTTCTTACAGAAGCTAATATAGATGTTGCAAAGCATTACGCAACAAACAAAAAAGCACTCGCTGACATCCTCAATGACTATAATGGTGCAATAAGTTATGATAGAATTCATGAGTTCATAAAGCCGCAACGCGGCGAGGACGAAGTCCATGCAAGAGCATTTCCTTTAAATGACATTGCTATTGACTTATATCATAGACGTTCAGTACCTCATGAAGTAAGAAGAGAGATGTTTGACATAACAAATGCAAACGTTGGTCATACTCGTAAAGCTCTTTCGCATGAAGTAAGAAGAGAGATGTTTGACATAACAAATGCGAACGTTGGTGAAACACGAAAGAGAGATGACACACTGAAACAACAGAGAAGAGAGATGTTTAAAAGTGCTATAGAACAAGTTCGCAAAGCTAACGATGTCATTCGTTCCATTGACGACAAACCAAAAGAAGGTGAGAGATGGTTAAAGAAAGATGAAGAGAATAGGAAGAGAAATGTGAAGTCAGGCAATAGACTCATTGACTTTAACATCGAAGCTTTAGATGAACCAAACAGAGACTACTTACACAAACATTTTGGTAAGGTTTTCATGAGACTCTTAGAGAAAATTAAAATAAACTCCCAACAGAGATGGATGGTATGTTATAAACTTGGTGGAAAGTATGAATGTTCTACGTTAAACCTCAATAATATTGGAACATTACTACATCAGCTCTTGAAGGAGAACTTTATATCAGAGATAGAAGCAAATGCCGCAGGTATTGTTGAAATGCACTATGACTTCTTCTTGACAAACATAAAGAATCTTACCGAAATAAAGATGTATGATTTAACAGAATATGAAGGCTTAACGATGTCAGATGTAAAGAAAGGCAAACCAAAAAAGAGACCATATAGAGATGAAAGCACACTGACAAATGACCAGAAAGCCATTTTGGAAGCTCTTAAGCAAACAGGAAACCCAGCACTTATAGAAAGCTTTTGGAAAGATAATGGTGAAAAGAAGTTTTATAAGAAGAGAAGCGGTCAGTTCTGGAAGTATCTTTGCACATTACCTATAAATCTTGAACGCTACCAAATCTTCAATGAACTGAACAAAAGAACTGCAACACTTATGACAGAGGACAATTGTTTCGTTTATGCTTGCATTCAGGCTGGAGTAAATGAAGAAACTATTGACCACATGAGAGAAGTCATTCGTGTTAGAGACTTTCCTCAAAGTAAAGTACAAGAAATTTCTGACGCAACAGGTATATCATTTAATGTTACCATTGGTTATTTCAATGACTCAAGACATAATGAAATAAGAGATATATACCAAAAGAATGCGAAACTGTTAGAACTATTGACTTACTTCTTGTTGAAAGACTACATGCTAAATGAAAGATTACCAATGACAACATACTTCATTCGAAACTATAAAGAAATTCTCAAAGCTTGTGGTGGAATGAACATTGAGAAACAGATGAAGATTTATACAAAGAGAGAAGATAAATATGTAGTTCGTTATGATAGAACAACACCGTTATGGGATGTTATGAAAACATTGTGGGAGTGCAAATATTTCGAACCTATTTCTTATGGAGAACTTTTCACATATACTACTGACTTATATAAACAGAACCTTGCACCATTTAAAGATTTGACATATGCTCCAAAGTATTGTGTACAACTGAAGAAGAAAGCAGAGTCAAAAGAAGTAAATAAAGCTAAATGTAAATTCATTCCTGAGCACGTTTTCTTTGCTGACTTTGAGTGTAGTACGGATGGCTTTCATAAAGCTTTTAACATCTGTTATGACAGTGAAGATGGTTCAGTTAGTGAAAGCATTTGGGGTCAAAACTGTGCAACAGAATTTTTGGAAAGACTTCCTGACAAGAGTTTAATATATTTCACAACCTCAGTTATGACATAAACTTCATCTTAAGACACATGACAGAAGTGAAAGGAACTCCCATCATTAAAGGTTCACGAACAATGCAAATAACTGGTTTATATAAAGGACGGGCAATTATTATAAAAGACTCTTACAGTGTTATAAATAAGAAGCTTAAACTATTTCCTGCTATGTTTAACTTACAAACAGGACCGAAAGAAGTATTTCCATATAACTACTACAGCAGTGTTTTGTTAGCAAATGACAACAGAACTGGTGTCATTTCTGAAGCATGTAAGTTTATCCATGATGCAGATACATTTGAAAACATAGATTCCATCAAAGGTTGCAGAATAGATGAAAACCACTTCGACTTAGAAAAATATAGCACGTTTTACTGCAAACAAGATGTAAGAATTTTAAGAGAAGGTTTTGTAAAGTTCCGCAATGACTTATTGAAAGAGTTTGATTTAAACGTTTATGACTACGTTAGTATTTGTTCTATTGCTAACAAATTGTTTGAGAACAGAGTATACTTCCCGAATGGAAATCTTTATGACCTCTCAAATAAACCAAGAGAATTTATTTCGAGATGCATTCAAGGTGGAAGATGTATGTTGTCAGATAACATGAAACAAAAGAGCAAAAAGAAACTCATTGCTGACTTCGACACTGTTTCATTATATCCTTCAGCTATAGCAAGACTTTATACTTTAGAAGGATTCCAAAAGTATTGAAGGAGAAATGTTAAGCACAGAGTATCTCATGAGACATTTATTCGATGATGACCAAAAGGAACCCATTGGTGAAAAGTTTATGTCTGGCTTCTTTGTTCTCATTAAGATAACAGAGATTGGTATACCCAGACACTTTCATTTAATAGTTTGCGACCCTGAACTAAATCCAGAACTTAACGTTCCAAGAAGTTCAAACACTTGCTGTCTCATGTATGTTGACCATATAACATTACAAGACCTCATAAAATATCAATGTGTCAAATGTGAAGTGTTGCAAGGATACTATTACGATGGAAACAGAGATATGAGAATAAGAGATGAAGTAAAGAAGTTGTTTGAGTTAAGGTTAAAGTATAAGAAAGAAGGAAACCCCTTACAAGAAATTATAAAACTCATTCTGAACAGCATTTATGGCAAAACTATTCTATCTCCTATTGAGTCAAAAATAACCATAGTAAATGACAAAGATGCTATAAGATATGCTATAAGAAATTACAACCATATAGTGAAGTTCGAAGGTTTGGATGGTTCAGATAAAACTATTTTCAAGCTAACGAAAAGCATTTGCAGACACTTTAACTTCTGTCCACTTGGTGTTAATATTCTGTCTATGTCAAAACGTATTATGAATGAAGTATTCTGTACTGCAGAGGACATGGGTCTTCAAATCTTTTACCAGGATACCGACAGTATGCACTTATATAATGAAGACATCCAAAGCTTGCAGCAGAGTTTAAGAAGAGATATGGTCGCGAACTTATAGGAAAGAACCTTGGTCAATTTCATAGCGACTTTGCAGAAATAACACCTGGAAAACAAAGTTTAGCTTATAAAAGTATTTTCTGTGGAAAGAAGACCTACATAGACTTACTCACTAACGATTTAAATGAAGTTGCATTTCACTGCAGAATGAAAGGCGTGAAGCAAGATGTTATTGCTTTAACCGCTAATGAAATGTTTCCTGAAGCTATACAATGCTATTACAATGAAGATAAGAACATTCACATACCTGTTGGAACATATGACAAAGACTCTGAGTTCAGTTTAATGAAACTTTACAAAGCACTTTATGATGGTCAAGAGATTGCATTCGACTTATGTAAGTCATGTCAACCTTGCTTTGCTGAAAAGTTCAACTTTTCAATAACGACTAAAACAAGCTTTATTCGTAAGTTGAAGTTCTGAGGTCATTTATTTTTGTCAGCAATGAGGTCATGAATGAGGTCATATGTCAGCAATGAGGTCATTCGTGATAAAAATAAAGCTAGCGTAGATTTTACAATACTGCGATGGTAGAGTTTAAGAGTTGTGCTTCAATGTAGAGACAGTCCTTATGGTCTGGAGGCAAGAACACTGGGCATTATGGTCATGAGTGGAGAACATGTCTATTTTCGACGAAAGTAATCTGACTTGAAATGTAAGTTTCGGACGAAAGTAAGTTCTGACTTGAAATGTAAGTTCGGACGAAGTAAGTCTGACTTGAAATGTAAGTTCGTCGGACGAAAGTAAGTCTGACTTATGAATAGAAGTAGTCTCGACGAAAGTAAGTCTGACTTGAAATGTAAGTCTCGGACTGAAAGTAAGTCTGACTTGAAATGTAAGTCTCGGACGAAAGTAAGTCTGACTTGAAATGTAAGTTCTGTTCGGACGAAAGTTAAGTCTGACTTGAAAATGTAAGTCTCGGACGAAAGTAAGTCTGACTTGAAATGTAAGTCTCGACGAAAGTAAGTCTGACTTGAAATGTAAGTCTCGGACGAAGTAAGTCTGACTTGAAATGTAAGTCTCGGACGAAAAGTTAAGTGTGTCTGACTTGAAATGGTAAAGTCGGACGAAAGTAAGTCTGACTTGAAATGTAAGTCTCGGACGAAGTTAGAGTCTGACTTGAAATGTAAGTCTCGGACGAAAGTAAGTCTGACTTGAAATGTAAGTCTCGGGACGAAAGTAAGTCTGACTTGAAATGTAAGTCTCGGACGAAAGTAAGTCTGACTTGAAATGTAAGTCTGATTTCAAATATAAGTCTGATATTAAGATAAGTTTGTAACTAAAATTAAGTCTTATTCCAAAAGCAAATTTAATTGATAATAAGTCTGGATCTAGAGTAAGCCTTAGTCTACAGCTATTCTGTCTCAAAAATAGTCACGAACCATAGTAAGTTTCGGACTAGAGTATGTCTGTAATTCGAATCATTCATTTTCTTCAATTATCCCGCAAAAATTATCGTCTTTTATCATACCATAGTTTTTATCAATCTCGTTCTACTAAAAAACCTTTATATTGTGATTTCTTTGTTAAACCCGTATTTTTCATGTGAATCTTATTGTATAAACTCTAAAAGTTCAATTTCCGGTCGAAAAAAACTTGAAAACAATTTGTATTCGACGAGTTAAAGAGCTCTATTTATTCTAAATTTTCCAAAAAAAATTAGATTTCGTTTTTTCGCTTCAAAAAATGTTGTTTTAAGTTTTAAAATTTGTAATTCAAAATTTTTTTGAAAGATTTACGATTTTTTAATACTGCGAATGAGTTTTATTTACATACTCTATGATAAATCATATTTTTGTCGAGATATAACTTTTTAAAAAAAAATTATATGCAAAGAGTGTTATAGAATTCTAGAAGGTATAGTGCATAATTTGAAGTATACTATCAAATAAAGAAATTTTACAGTTTTTTTAGTTTTATTTAGATGTACGTTATTTTAGATGGCTTCGTCGAAAACAAAGCATGTCTGTTAAGTTTATTCTTAACATGGTAAATAAAATGGCAACGAAGCCCAGTGTACTGCGTCTTATGCCGTAGTTTTTGTTATCTTCATACTCAAATACAACAAATAAAATAGATTTATTACGAAAAAACGTATAAACAAATGATATATTTATTTCTAGACAAGTTGACGAACATGTAGCGCAACTGTATCGCTTTAGAGAACAGTTCTTCCAACACCTACTCATTCAGTGAAAGACTGATTCACATTGTTGCTGGTAAGTCTGATTGCTTCAGATAGAGAGCATGAATTGCTTCTTTATCATCTAATCCCCATCCCCCTTGTTCCCGATTGGATGACATGGACAATTCATCTTTCTCTAACGAAACAAAATGACACTTTTTGGCGGCTTATTGACTCAGAAAAATTTGAGAGTTAACGAATAATTTTGGCGCCAAAAATAATTTCTCTTAATTTATTACATTTAATATACGCACATCCATAAGTTATGCTATTTTTTCTATTTATTTTGTTCTAAAATTCTAAATATTTTTTTTCATAACATAAAATATGATGTCTAGTCTCATTTACATAACAACATGCCTTAGAATAGGTTTTTTATTCTTTTTGTCACTTTAAATTAAGAATAAAAAGATAATTTAAATTGAATATTTGCGATTATTCTCACTAATGCTGCTTCCTCTTTTATTAGGTAGACAACAAAAAGTTAGCCTTGGACTCCCATATCAGATTTTTGATTGGTTGCGTATATAATGAGCTGGGATTGATAGACGAAAACCCAGTGAGAAAATTTTTGACGCCTTTTTTACAAGTGATTTCACTAAGGGTTTACAATATAATTGGTTTTTTAAATTTAAAGTTCTTATGAATTTCCTACATGAAATTGGAAGAAACGCAGCATTTGATGAATTGATGCAAATATTTCCAATTTAATTATTCATTTCTTCATTGAATCTATAGGATCACATTCAATTATCCCTACCATACTTTATGTTTTAATAGTTAATATTGTAAATGGGCAATTGAAACAATATAAGATTTTCGTAACCTCATATGTTTACATTTAGTGGGATAAAAAATTGATTTTTTGATGATAATATTATATAATGTTCTATTCTGAGGGTCTTGAGTTAAAAAATATTATGATAAATAAAATAAATTAGATTTTCAATGAAAAATAATCATGCAAATAATACATATTACATATAAATATTTTACAAACAAACAAAAAATGTGAAATCACAGAGATTAATCATTAATATCTTGTGATAAATGGTTTTCTATGCAATATCTCATCCAAAATGGGAGTCTTTTATCGGAAGTTGACTTATATAAAGGTATTCCATTTGAATTTGTTACTAGAATTGGAATTTTGTTCTCTCTTAATGACAAAACAATATTTTTTAGAGCTTCTCGAGATTCTTTGAAAGAAGGATCATTTAGCTTTGGAAGGAAGTTAGAGATGATCATTCTAGGGATTCCTGTTGATACATTAAATGATATTGGGAAATATAAATATGGTTTCTTTGTGAGTTCTTTCACTTTTTCTCTGAAATCAACTTTTCCGAATTTTTCTGAAATTTTCAGAGTTTTTCCATCAATTAAATAGACTTCATCGTTGCTATTTCTAACAAGAATATCCGTATTATGTCCTAATCTCTGTATTTCATCAGCAGCAACAGATGGCTCGAGTTTACAAATTTCATTATTTTTATCAAATTTTCTGAGGTTTCCTGAGGTATCACAGACATGAAATAGCGAATTATTCTTTGTAGAATGTATTCCAGATATCAGCGAAACGTTGAAATTATAAAGAGGATTTGTTACATTGTAATAATCATGAACAACGCCATCTGAGTAAATTGCAACTAATGAATCACTTGTGCATGATATGTTAATAGGAAATCCGTTGTCTGAATACTCATGAACTGCTTTCCAAGTTCTTTTATCAAATTCAAAAATTTTTCCATCGAGATATCCTGCACAAACTGTATTTTCGTTGCATGAAATCACTTTGATGCATGATTCGTGGCTAAAACAATTGTGAATATTCTTAACTTCGCTTCTTAAATCATAATATGAAATTTTTCCATTGGCTTCACCTATTAAAAGTAGATTATCGAGATATTTGATGCAGTGTGCTGATGTTTCCGTATGTATACTTGCATAATGCTTGAGTCCTGATTCTGTTATTTTGAATTTTGAAATTTTTGGTTCGGATGAAGAGGTAAATATGGTAGAATCCTTAACTGTCATTGATAATATGTAATCATTATGTACGAACTTTTGTGTGAATTTAGGTTCATCTGAATTTATAATTTCTTCTTTGGGAATTAATGCAATACTCCCATCGTAAGAAGATGTTACGATGAAATCTGGTGTTGCTTGAACTGATGAAATCCATGAATTATGTAAACTGATGGTTTTTTTGATTTTATAATTCAAAGGATCGAGTTGAAAAAGCCTTCCATCCCTTGATCCGCAAAATAGATCAACATCTTCGACCATTGATTGGAATGGTCGAAGTTGGTGTTCACCTTCTTCAGGTAAATTTATCTGTAAAATCTCGTTCATTTTTAATTTACGGGCGTGCAGACATCCTTAATTCCCAAGATTATTGATGTGACTTATATTATGCCAATGTTTTGCACAATTTTGATTATTTATAATGAACTAATATTTAGAAAATAGCACATTTCAAACATTCAGCATATATATACCGATTCCAAATTCTCAGATTTTGATTTTGTGAATTGTACAGTTCCCTGGATTTTCACCATCAATTTTAAATATTGAGCATGCAATGATTTCATACAACATTGTACTGCCACAATATTAATGAATGAGTGAAATATAGAGACCGCTTTAAATTATTACAAGGGATATCCCTTTGTGAATATTCTTTTGGATTGTGGAATTATCAATGGGGGGAAAAATGTATATGGAGAAACAGCTCTTCATTATGCAGCATGAGATTTCTTATGCGATAATAAATTATCACTGAAAAAGATACAATATTGTTGATCAATGTATACAAGTCCAAGAAAATCTTTAGTTTTTGAACAGATAAATTTGATAACTTCCAAAACTCTGTTATTTAAAACTTAACGATAGTCTTTGTTTGGTCGAACTGTTCTCCTAAATAAAAGTCATAATGTAAACTCATTTTTGGCATTTTGTCAAAATCATTGAGATTATTTTTGACATATGAATAGAACATCAGAATTTTTCACATATCTATCTCAAGAGAGGCCAAAAAATGCTCAAAACAATAGGTCATTAAGATCTAAATCTAAATTTTTCGAATTTGCTGATAGTATTAGTACTCAAATCACCGAAACTTCATTAATTTGTCAAAGGCTCGATAACTTGATATCTGGAGATAATGTTCTTGGTGAAAATGATAGAGAAATAGTTGAATTAATGAATAAACTTCAAAATGACATACAACAAATAAACAAAAAGATTGATTCGATGCAAAGCATGCAAAAAGAAGCTCCACAAGCACCAATAGTAGCACAACAACTTAGAAAATCGCTTTATGATATAAATACGCAATTCCAAAGTATTGTTGATAAAAGAGCCCAAATTATGAAAGAAAACATGAGTAGAAGAAGTCGATATGGTGGATACACACACTCTCAACAGGTTTATAATACATCTTATAACGATGATGACGAAATAGAAATTCCAATTAACCAAATGCAGTTCGAACAACAAAATTTAAACGAGAGATATGGTTTGGTTAAAGATGTTGAATCATCTATTACTTCAATTGTTGAAATGATGACAAGATTATCAACAATGATTGCTGATCAAGATACATCTATTATTAGAATCGATGAAAATACTATGGAAGCCTTAACAAATATGAAAGCAGGTGAATCGGAACTTATGAAATACAAAGATAAAGTTATGAAAAATAAATGGTTCATCTTGAAGATATTTATTGTCTTGTTCATTTTCGCTCTTATTTTTATCCTTATTGTATAAATGTTTTTTATTTATTTATTTTATTTAATTATTTGTTGTTTTTTGAAGAAAAAGAAATCAACACACTCCTTTTTGTAATAAATATAAGTATCTTTGACTGAATGCAATGTCCATGCTAACAAATAAAAATTATATTTCATCAAAACGGGTTAGAATGTGGTAAAAGTAAAGCAAAACTAAGAAATATTACATAATTATTATTTATATTCAAACAAAACATAATACAAATAAATATAAGAAAAAAAATAATTAATATCGAGCAGATTGATCGATTGAAGGAGCCCTTTGTGATCTTGTCTCTTGCCCATAAATAATTTGATGTGATTGATCAGGTCTTTGGCGCAATTTTGGAAGAGTTATTTGAGCATTTCCATTATTTGGATTTTTAGAGGTAATAATCAGATCAGAATTATAAGAACATCTACTAGTTGTAGTTCTTGATGATTTTAAGTCAATTGAATCCTTCTTACTTGGATCATTTAATGCATTTGCTATTTCATTGAGTCTGTCACGCAATTTATTAAGGGCAACTCTATTCCTATCCATGAGACGCTCAACTACTTGTGTATCAGCCTTTCTATCAAGTTTTTCATCAATCATTGTCTTTAATGCTTCAATTTTTTCAATAAATCCATCGAATTTGGTGGATAAACCTTGTATAACACGTTTATTTTCGATTTCGTTTGGTTGCATAATTGCAACCCTTGCGTTTTCCTCTTCCTTTTTCTCCAAATTTTCTTCTTGTGCACTTTTTACAGTTGTTATTGTAGAATTTATCTGGTTGATCAACTCTTCTGGTATAGGAATATTAGTTATAGGTAATGTGAAGTCTGCAGATGCTTGGCGGCCATATTTCATTTCTGAATGAGCATTTTTCACTTTTTCTTCCAGTTTTTCGTTCTGTTCTATAATGGAATCGTTCTGTTGTTGAAGATTAATCATTGCGTCATCGAAATTGATCTGAACTGGCACTTGTCTGTTCGTTAAATGTTGAATGAAAGCAGAAAGTTGAATAAATGAATTCAAAATAAGTGTAGTCGAGTTCATATTTGAATCAACTATAGAATGAACGTTATTTGAAACTTTAACTAATTCATCAGAAAAATCTAAAATTAAAGCTTGGTTTTCATCAGTTCTCTTCATCAGATTTCGTCTAAAATTGTTATTTTCGCCAACCATTTCGCCCATATTCACTTGTAATTCGTTAAAAGTCTTAATTAAATTCATACACATTTGATTGAGTTTCAGATGGTCTTCTTTCACAGCATTAATTGTTTCATCGAACTTATCAATTCTTCTTGAATCTCTTTGCAAAGCTCTGATTAATGCAGGTGTATCGAGTGTTCCATCGTTTTGGAACACTTGAACATCAACAACCATATGCTTAACATCATTAAGATCAACACTCAAAGCATGCATTTCATTTGTATAGTCTTTCTTGATCGTATTTGCTAATTTAACGCATTCATCAACTTTTGAAGTTAAATCATTCTGGAAGGTTGTGCTTTCGGAAGTTAATATGTTAAGTTTGTTTTCGCAGCCTTCAATTCGAAGTGCAAGTAATTCTAAAGATTTATCTTTTCCTGTATCGAGAAGTTTATTAATTTTTTGTATTTCTGCCTGTGATTTTTGTAATAAATTTGATTGACTGATAATTTTAACATTGATTTCTCGAATTTGTTGGTTTGCGATGTAAATATCTCCTTGTAAGTCTTTTTCTTTGGCAACGAACTCTTCCTTGAGTTTTTTATTGCTGTAATCAATCTTTTCTGAAAGGGTGTTTTGATATTTGTTAATAAATGTCGTCATTTCTTCGAATCTGTTATTAACTTTTTCACTTTGAGACTGAAGTGCCTCTTTATTATTCTTATTCATGTCTTCCACTTGCTCTTGGAGTAATGCCACCTCTTTTTTAGTCGATCTGAGGTTAACTTCTTCTTGTAATGATTTGATTGAAGCTGAATGTTCTTGTAATAAGTTGCAAATATCAATAAGAGTGTACTTCAATTGGTCAGAAATCAAGTTGAAGTTGATAATTTCCCCATTGTTTAATAAGTTATTGATTTTTTGCACCGACATTTTTTGAGATTGAGCAAAAAAAACGAGCTTTTTTCAACATTTTATCGGTGCTGCACACCGATAATTGTTATTGATTTTCTTCTCAATTTAACTTTACAACTCTCAATCATTAAATTCTTAAAATCATATTAGAATCAGGATGATCCATACTTTCAAGCACTAATAAGGTTATTTTTGTTATGTTTACATTATCGTCCATAGGTTTCCCTGAAAAATGACGCAAATATTGAAATGGGTTAGAGGAATCATATATAAAGACCACGAAGATAATACCAAAGAATCAACAATAGTTAGTCCACCCAATAGAAAAGCTTTCACTTTGTGGCACGAATGTCACATTCGAAAATCGTTTCTCGAAAGGAGTTTACAATTACAATATATTGTCCTATTGTATTGTAATTGTAAACTCCTTTCGAGAAAAGCTTTCACTTTGTGGCACGAATGTCACATTCGAAAATCGTTTCTCGAAAGGAGTTTACAATTACAATATATTGTCCTATTGTATTGTAATTGTAAACTCCTTAGTTCGATTCCTTCATTTTATTAAATTATAAATATACAATTCTTTCTAATCTTCCTTTTTCATAATTCATTTCTCATTTAAATTCTAAATAATCTAACTCTACTAATCTAGATTTTTTCTAATATCAATTTTTCATATACAAACTCGTATTTTTTCTTTCAAAATTCCATTTTCCAATATTTTTTGAAAATTTTACATAATTTTATATATATTTTATTCTATTATTATTACATAATAATATTATACATATTAATTGTTTTAATTTTTGAATGCCTACGATAATTTTTAATTCAATTTTTAAACGAATGTTTTGATGGGACGAGCTTACTGCTCATAGGCTCATCCCATCAAAACATTCCATTCAAAACTCTGGCCTTCATCGAGGCCAGAGCCAACAATTCATCCCCTCAGAGCCAAGTTCCTCGACGGCCGTCCTCATTAGGCCTGATCCGAGAGGAACTTGGCTTTGAACGAAAATCACAAGCTCTGGCCTCAGGAAAGGCCAGAGCTTCGCAAACAATCCTCGGGGCCGGTTTCCTCAAAGACCGCCCTGATTCGGGGCGGCCGGAGAGGAATCCAGTCCCGAGAGAACGTCCATACGAAGCTCTGGCCTTTTCCGAGGCCAGAGCTTGTAAATACAATCCGCAGGGCCGAGTTTGAGGGAGATCGTCCACATCATTGGCGATCTCCTCTCTTCTCGGCCCTGAAAGACATGCAAATACAGGCTCTGGCCATAGCAAAGGCCAGGGCATGGCTTACATTCCCCAGGGCCGGCTTTCCCAAATGCCGCCCTTATCCCGGGCGGCAGGAGTGGAATCCGGCCCTGGGAAGTAGAAAATACGAAGCTCTGGCCCAAGCAAAGGCCAGAGCCTGCAAAATTCATCCTCAGGGCCGAGTTCTGCGATGATCGTCGATCATGTCGACGATCTCGCAGGAACTCGGCCCTGAAAGACATACAAATACAGGCTCTGGCCCAAGCAAAGGCCAGAGCCTCGCTTACAATCAAATTTGCCGAATCTCAGGAGATCGTTCAAATCACGGACGGTTTTCCCTGAGATTCGGCAAAATAAGTCAAATTACAGTTCTAGAAAGACTAGAAGGGGGCCCTGACCTTGAGAAAGGACCCCCTTCCCGGTCTTTCTGGCGAACTTTGGTTCGCATTGCGAGTGTCTGCTGCGAATCCGGGGCTGAGCAGCAGACACTCGCAATCATATGTCGCGGCAAGTGCACCTGTGGTGCCAGAATGCACTTGCCGCGACAATTGCGAAATGCAAAGATGATGCCGGAAGGAGCGGCAATACTGGCAAAAGCCACTCCTTCCGACACCAGAAAGACTAGAAGGGGCCCTGACCTTGAGAAAGGACCCCCTTCTCGGCCTTTTTTGTTAAATTTAAGATATTTCAATTGCAAAATTATTTCAAAATTCATAATGGATAGTACCATACGAAGGTGCAAGTCATAGCAATGGTGCACCATCAATATGAGCCCCATTGCTATGACTTCACCTCGGGATAACCTCGATGCGAGGAAAAGTGGAGCAATTCGAAACATTGCTCCACTATACAAGTTCTTGTAAGGATAGGTATATAGTTACCACATCCTTACAAGAACTGTTCCTCGCTTCGAGGTTTTGTCTTGTGATTGTGTGTGCTGTGCCATCCAATGGTCAAACGGATAGCACAGCACACACATACTAGGCATGATAACCCTTCCTATGAATTAGGACGCGATAGCCCTGACCTCACCCCGGGATAACTTGCATTTGTACTCATATCCCGATCAATAACATAATTTATATCAAGACACACCTACCACTACATAATATAGCATTATATCAACACAATACTAATATATAATGTTAAAAACACACAAATTGATGATATTCATAATATAAATTGGGACCAAAGATCTATATTGAGACCTAACTATTATCAAACCTTTATATATAGGAAACATACATTGCACCTATAGAATATTGAATGAAAATTAGATGGTTCTAAAATTCGATATCTGATGCTGACCCAAGGTGGTCCTCATTCCTATATATGTTCATCTATACCTAATGTCCTAATATTCATCCATATACATGTTGGGTCTATCTCCATCAGAAGGGTCCATGCTGAAGTGTGGGTATTCAATTTCCACCCAACGGTTCAGCACGCCTCGTTGGATGTCAAAGAGAGACTGAGTGTTGGATGTCAAAGAGAGACTGAGTGTTGGATGTCTCTGAGAGAGACTGAGTGTTGGATGTCTCTGAGAGAGACTGAGTGTTGGATGTCAAAGAGAGAGACTGCGTGTTGGATGTCAAAGAGAGACTGAGTGTTGGATGTCAAAAAGAGACTGAGTGTTGGATGTCAAAGAGAGACTGAGTGTTGGATGTCAAAGAGAGACTGAGTGTTGGATGTCTCTGAGAGAGACTGAGTGTTGGATGTCAAAGAGAGAGACTGCGTGTTGGATGTCAAAGGGAGACTGAGTGTTGGATGTCAAAGAGAGACTGAGTGTTGGATGTCAAAGACAAATAAATTGTTGTTATTATTTAAATAATTTCCATCTTTTGTAATGCATCAGCACATTACCTGAAAACTTTTTAATCATTCTAGAACAAACCAACATCGTATAATCCCATCATAGCTAATCATCCATTACAATTCTGCCTATTCAAGAGCTCGTGGTGAATTTCCTAAGTTCATTCCCATTCAAAATAAAGATATTCAACAAATTTCTTCCAAAAGAACTTCGTAAACTAACTAACAAGAATAACATCTTCCATTATTTTCAACATAAATACATTTTCAAAGAATAAAATGTTCTTTAATGATTTTTTATTTGGTGAGAAATCTTGCAACATTATTCTTTCATACTCAACTTCAATACAACAACTAACATATGATAGTTGGAAAAAATCACATAATAGAGCAGGTAAGTATTGTGAAGCTGAACTTTTATTTATCTGGTGTGATATGACCAAGCGAGGGACTCAGACTGCTGTATCTGTGGAGCAACATGACCAAGCGAGGGACTCAGACTGCTGTATCTGTGGAGCAACATGACCAAGCGAGGGACTCAGACTGCTGTATCTGTGGAGCAACATGACAAGGTGATTCAGTTTGCATTGATTGATAGTTCAATATCAGACCAATACTTCTCTTCCATGTTGCGGGCATGGCGAGGCATTTTCAAGATTGGTACCGAAATTGGCTACTATCCCTAAATGCAACAATCATAAATGACACTTTTATCAAAAAACGTGTTTAATTCAAATTTGGCGGGCTTTTGGTCGTAGATTAATTTAACTAATATGAATTTGGATTGTGCTTTCCTTATTGATGTAATGATATTTTCACTAATAAAAAATGAAATATACACAAGAAAAAAATTATTCAAAAATTATCATTGCATTTTATTTGAAGAAATTTTGAAAACACATCATACACATACTATAAATGAATATTATCATCTTAATTTTAATAAATTTCATTTACTTGGAAAGATGCAAGATCATCTTGTACTTACTCTTCGATTTATTCCATGTAACTTCGCAGGTAATAATGGCGCACTTACCTCTATTTTGGATTTTTATAGTTTCCCTCAAAACACATTCTATGGACTTACGCTCGTATCGCGTTAAAAAATGTCGTTAAAATTGCCCACACGCCGAAATTGAATCATTTTGAAATGTATAGATTCTGTTGCTTTTAATGGATGCATGATACATTATATGATGATTATCAAGAAAATCTAAACTGTTTTATCGACAATTAATGGTAATGAAGAAAATCTGAAAAATAATTTAACATCAATAGGATATTTAATGAAACAATTATTAAACAAAATTAAACCTAAGAATTAAACTATATTTATCATATAAATATCTATGAAAATTTACTTTACCCAGATTTTCCTTACTTTAACCACCCCTCTAAAGCTGGGGACACCGCCTATCGTTTGGAGTAGCTATTAAATAGAACCACCAAGGGTATTTTTCGAACTGCCGGTGTAGTGTAGTGGAAACATCCGACATAATGATTCATTATGCCAAGGTTTGATTCCCATTTAGCTAATTTTTTTCTTTTTTGGATCATGAATTTTTTTTTGGGTCACTATAAGATTTGTTTCATGTTCTAAATCTGCTGCATATGTAATCTATTTTTATTTACCTATTTTTTAAAAATCTATTGGATTGCCAAATTTGAATATATTTAAAATCATAAAAATCCAAAAAAAACTATAAATATATGTTTTATGCATAGTGCCGATACTCAAATATCAGATTACTTAGATCCATGAATAATATCCGAATTTTTTTTCTTAAAATTAAACTTCAAAACTTCTTGCAATCTTATTCTTCATCAATTATAAATTTTTAAAACCATTTTTTAAAATAATTTTGCGTAAATTTTATTCTCATGTTGTTTTAATCGAAAATTGATACATTTTCAAAAAAATAATATTGACTTATGAAATTCATTTTTAAGGT